GTTATTATTATTATTGCATCACCTTATCCTACACACTGTTTCAAAATACTTACCGTGTATAAATGAATAGCCACATACATACAAACATACACACAGATATACCATGACATACATACCTACATGACAGACAGGTGTATAATGAGCCACTACACAGGTAACATTTCTATATCAATGTCCAGCCACAGTTATCCTTGATGAGGCCACAAGGAGGAAAGTCATCTTAGTCAGGGCTGTATTCTCTCTGGCCAGGGTAGAGTATATCTAGGAGTTATGAGTCACCTGGAGATTAACCTAACCTAACTTACCTTAATCTACCTACCTTAAACTTACGTTAACTTAACCTAACCTTAATCTACCTACTTTAAACTTACGCTAACCTAACCTAGCCTAACTTAACCAAACCAAACTTAACCTAACCTAACCTTAATCTACCTACTTTAAACTTACGCTAACCTAACCTAGCCTAACTTAACCAAATCTAACTTAACCTAACCTAACTTAACCTAACCTAACCTAACTCTACCCTAAACTAACCCCTCCCCTCAGGTAAAATATTAGGATGTTTCATCTTTAACTGAAATAAACTAGGGTGCCTAATCTTCATGTGTCACGTCTCTCACACACACACACACACACACACACACACACACACAACTGAAACGTGTAACCGGAAGATAATTTTTCACAAATCCTTGGGACGTTAACATAACTCCGGAAATACACTACCTGGCAACTCGCTTTGTTTATGTGGATCAGCTGTTTTTTTATTTACCGTAATAATACGATTCAATTACATATACTACACGTGAATAATGATTTTTTACGTTGTTTATGTATGTATGTATGTATGTATGTATGTATGTATGTATGTATGTATGTATGTATGTATGTATGTATGTACGGCTATAATTAACTGAGACGTCTGATCATCATATTTCTTTATTTTTTCTTTATCTTAAATACACACACACACACACGTACATACATTAAGCAGTAGCATCCCCCACACACACACATCTTACCCCCCCCCCCACACACACACACATTACAACCCCTCCTCCACACACACACACACACACGTACACATTAAGCAGCATCCCCACACACACACCTCAAGTAGTCCTCTCTCTCTCTCTCTCTCTCTCACACACACACACACCTGAGACCTTGGCACCTGTAAAACAGAACACTCAGTCTATGTATTTTAACCACAGGACTGAACAGTATTGTAGCAGGCAGACGCCCCCATGCTCCTGCTCCACATGTTGACACAGAAAGGCCTTGCATAGCTGTCACGGGGGAGGAGGAGGAGAAAGGGGGGGGGGAGGAGGAAGGGGGGGAGGGAGGAGGGGAGGAGAAGGGGAGGAGAAGGACAAAGGTAAGAAGATGAGGAGGAGGAAAGGGGTAGGAGGAGAAGCTGGGGAGGAAGAAGAGGAGAAGGGGGAGGTAGTGTTGAAGCAGGGGGGGAGAAGAGGAAGAGGAGAAGACGGAGAAGGAAGAGAAAAGAAGAGGAGGAAGATGTCTTTAAAACAGGTGGTCGCTCGCTGTAAGTGCATGTGTGTGTGTGTGTGTCGTGTCTCCATCCATCCATCCACTCATCCATCCACTCAACCATCCACTCACCCACTCATTCAACCATCCAGACAGGCACGTATAGGATAAGTGGGTCAGGTAGGTAGGTAGACGGACACACAACACAAGGGGGGCAGTTTTTGTCACAGTGACTCTTCGTGGCCAAATTTTCTCAATACGTTTCAAGGCTCCATGACCGGGAGGAGACATTATATATAGTGCCAACGGGAGCGATCACGAGCGTCTGGCGATTATACTCAATAGCCCAGGCGATTAGAGGTCGATTATAGTAGTAGTTAGACGTATTAAGTGATGGTGTCTGTCTGTCTGTCTGTCTGTCTGTCTGTCTGTCTGTCTCTCTTTCTCGACGAATCTTCGCTCGATTTCTTCCCATGTTTGTCTGTGAATCTGTTATGTGATGTTACCCTGTCTGCCTGTCTGTCTCTGTCTGTCTGTCTGTTACTCCCACCAATAGGGTTGATTCTCCTCCCTTGGGTGATTCTAAGACTACGAGATTGTGTTTGTGTAACAGACGGACAATATCATCATCATACGTCCGCCAGTACTGCACAGCTGATAACCCAAACTGTCATACTGTCTACACACACACCTGAGAAGGCTGAGGTCCCCCCTCCTCGCCCCGTCCAGGTAATAAAAGGGCAAGAAGTGAACCTGACAACACAAAGAGACTAGATCATTGACACAGTGTGATAAAAAAAAAAAAAAACAGGTGTATCACTTCTACCTACCTGCCCACCTACCTACCTGCCCACCTACCTACCTGCCCACCCTACCTACCTGCCCCACTACCTACCTGCCCACCTACCACAACCCACCTACCTCTCCTACCCCACCTACCTACCTACCTGCCCACCTACCTACCTGCCCACCTCTACCCACCCACCAACCCACCTACCTCCTCTACCCACCAACCCACCTACCTCTCTACCCACCTACCTACCTCCCCACCTCTCTACTTCCCCCACCTCTCTACCCACCTACCTACTACCTACCTCTACCCACCTACCTACCTCCCCACCTCTCTACCCACCTACCTACCTCCCCACCTCTCTACCCACCTACCTCTCTACCCACCTACCTACCTCCCCACCTCTCTACCCACCCACCTACCTCCCCACCTCTCTACCCACCAACCCACCTACCCACCTGCCCACCTACCTACGCATCTAGTACAGGGTATAAAGTACAGTGTTAATGCAGTGTCCAAGGTCTCACGAAGGAAAGACACACCCAGTTTATTTCAACTGTTGATTTTACACTGAAGTGCTATATACAGTCTATACCCGTGAGGGGGATGGGGGTGGGTTAGGTTAGGTTACCTATTATTAAGTTTGGTTAAGTTAGGTCAAGTTTGGTTTTGTTAGGCTAGGTGAGGTTAGGTTAGGTTAGGTTACCTATTATTAAGTTTGGTTAAGTTAGGTCAAATTTGGTTATGTTAGGCTAGGTGAGGTTATGTAAGGTTAGATTAGACTAGATTACATTAGATTGGATTAAGCAGAGTTAGGTTAGATTAGGTTAAGTTAGGTTATGTAAGGTTAGATTAGATTAGATTAAGTTGAGTTAGGTTAGGCTAAGTTAGGTTATGTAAGGTAAGATTAGATTAGGTTAGCGTTAGGGTAATTAATCATCAGGTGAAATTAGCCGGGAGGACTAATCTCCAGGTGATCCATTTTCACTTATAAACAAGGTAGAAACTAGAGATTATTCAGGCATCTGGAGCTGGACTTAGTTAACCCGTTTAACATACTAGAAAGTTGTTCTCAGTTCAGTAGCTTCAGAACCTTGCATACAAAAAGTTGCGTGTGTGTGTGTGTGTGTGTGTG